AGGAGGTGAGGACCAGAGGAACAGGTGGAACAGGAACAGGATTCTGGTCTTGAGGGTCAAACTTTGTTTCTGATGGTTTAAATTCTTTATTTTTCATTTCCTTAAAATCTTTTTCTTTTTAAAATTATATTTTGTCAAAAACTAAATCATAATTTTCACAGCAAGAGAACCAGAACCAGAACCCTAAGTGTTCTGGAGCTGAAGCGTGAAGGTCCGACTCACCGTGTGCGCGGCGCTCTGCTCGTTGAAGCTGAAACAGGAAACGAGTCGATCAATCAGAGCGACGCTCGTTAACGACAAACGTCTCAGAACAGGAAGCAGAACGCCTCCTTATCGGGTCAGTTCTGTCAGAACCACCTGATCCACAGTCGGACCCTTTGGCTGAACTTTCTGTTCTCAGAAGTTCGAAATGTTTTAGATTTTAAAAGATCAAACAAAAACAAATGTAACAAAATCTAAATCCAGGTCTTTGATCCTCTGCTGGACTCCAACAGGTTCTGCTCACCTGTCCTGACCTCTCATTGGGTCCATCTGAGCCCGCCTCCTCCCCGCCTACTGTGACATCACTGTTGGTGTCAGCTGACTTCTCTGTCGCGGCACTCTGGTTGCCGTGGGCGACGGTCTGCTCCTTGTCGAAGCACTTCTGAAGAGCTGCAAGGGAACAACGGATCAGAACCAGGAGGGGGTTCTGCAACTGAAGCTTTAAACCTGCAGGAGTCTGGACCGGCTCGACCTCAAACCGACACCTCACCTTTTATTTTCTTCTGCAGGGTGGAGTTTTCAGCTTGGAGGCGGAGCAACTCTCCATCTGCTGGGCCAGAGGTGGAGTTAGCAGGAGGACTGGTTACAGAGGCTCCGCCCCCATCCTTCAAGTGTTGGTTCTCCTGTTCCAGCTGCTCGATCTGCGTGCACAGCTGGAGGACACAACACAAGGAACAGTTCATTACACAGCAGAGGAGACACAGAGACAGATGGACTGACGGTCAGAGACTCAGACTCCGAGACACAGAAGAGACTCGGGGACACAAAAATTCAGACTCAGACTAAGAGAAATAAAAGATTCAGAGAAACAGAATCAGACTCAATGTCAATTTATTTCTATAGCACTTAAAAACAACAACCGCTGACCAAAGTGCTTACAGTTAAGACGGATAAAAAGAGTACAAAAAGCAGCGAGTGCCACTCAGAAACATAAGAAAGTTAACAGTAAAAACACAACAACAATAAAATCAGCTCAAAATTTATTCTCAAACTCTGCGTGGATCAAATGCCAAGAAATCCAGATGAGTCTTCAGCAAAGATTTAAAAGTCTCAACAGTCTGAGCGCTCTTTAAATTCTCTGCTAAACTGCAAAAAAGTTCAGTCTGGTCCTCTGGACATTCAAAAAAACAAAAAACAAAACAAAGCAAAAAAATGTAGAAACGTTTCGTCTCTCGGATGAGAGACGAAACGT